GCCTGAAATCAAAGTGCAAATATTGCAAAGAAGCTGTTGATTTTTATCATGGCCCAGCCAACTCTGCGTTTTTCCTACATTTGATTTTTTTTCACTGACTCCATTTCGTATCTTAGATCACAATACTATTTTGCGCATGCAAATTTTTTTATGTTGTTTTTGTTTTTTTTTGTTTTCTACGTTTTTTTTTTTATATTTTCATTTCGTACCTAATCAAATGCAAATACGCCCACAAATTCTGTCGTGTCAGTGAAGTGTGTGTGTGCAAAAAGGTCTCTGTTTTTTTGGGTTGTTATTTGATTTGAAAGTAATACAAACTTACGCCTTAAATCCCTCGGATCGGAATTGTTGCTGCGCGGACTTTCACCCTTTTCACCGTTGTCGTAATCGTTTGATCCCTCCATCGATTCGTGGGAAGTGCAAGTGGGGCTTGCCGAGTCTGTGCGAAATGAATCGTTGCCATTGAAGAGATTCTGTTGTGAAAGAATTGAGAAAGCGATTGGTAGGTAAAGATAAGCGTGTTTTAGAAATGCAAAATGTAAATTTTTCTAAGAACAAAAAGAGGAAAACATGTCGCTTTAAAGTAAAAATTTTACATAATTTTTTCAAATTTTAAAACTGGACACGAACTTTACTGTAATTTATCACCTGAACATGTTTCTGTGGTAATTTAAAAGCCTAGCATAATTTTGTTTTTTATTATAAATTTTTAGAAATGCTTATTGGCTATTTAAAACCTGTAAATAAATATTTTTTCGATCAAAAACTGTTTGATCCTTTAAATATTGGATATAAAATTTTGTTCTTTTAAAAATTGGACATATTTTTTGTTAATTTAATTTTATGGTAAGTAAAAACCCAGAAATTAAAAATTATACATACATTTTGCAAATTTAACAACTGCACATAAATTTTTGGTAATTTAAAACTGTACGGGAGTTTCGAAAAATTAAAAATCTATACATACATATAATAAAATTGTAACAGGCTGATGTCTGTACATTATAAATATTAAAAAAAAAATTATATAGAGGGTCCGTTTTATGAGCACTAGAAGCCAAATCCAAAATTTTTCGAATTTTCTTCTATCTGTCTCTTTTCTGTATGCGCATAACTCGAAAACTAAAGCATGGAATTGAATGCAGTTATCACCGAAGTATTGCTGGAGGTCTAACTTTAAATATAGAAAGAAAAATGTTAGAGAGTTGCCACCTGTTTGAAAATTCCCGTTTAAGTAAATTGATAAGAAAAAATAATTATTGCAATATTGTTGTCTAAAGAAAGCGGTTTAAGCGGGCTTAAAGCCGAAAGTATTTTTGTTGTGGGTTGCCAGCTGTTTGAAAATTTTAATTTAGTTTAATTGATAAAATAAATTGAATGTTGCAATATGGGTATCAAACTGAATAGATTTAGGAAAGTTTACTGCGGAAAATACTTTTCAAGGAGGATTGCCACCTTTTTGAAAAATTGTATTCAATTAACTTGATAAAATAAATGAAATGTTACAATACGGGTATCAAACAGCACAAAAATACTTTTAAGGCGCAGTAAAGTACGCCGGGTATTTGCTAGCTTGAAATACAATTTTTTAGTAATTTAAAACTAGACTTGAGTTTTAGTCAATTCTAAAATGGACATATATTTTTTTCAATCAAAAATTAGATATACATAGCAGTTTGGTCATTTAAATATTGGACATAGAATTTGCTCGTTAAAAAACTGGACATATGTACACATATTTTTGGCAATTAAGAATCTGAAGACTTATTTTTAATAAACTAAAATCTGGACATATTTTTTAATGTTTAAAACTGGACATATTTTTTGGTCATTTAAAAACTGGGCACAAATTTTTAGTAACTTAAAATTTGAGCCACAGTTAAAAGTGTATATATATTTTTATAATAAAAAACTGGACATCTTTTTTCAGTGTTTGAAAAACTGGACATAAACTTTTGGTAATATAGAAACTGTTCATAAATTTTTGCTTGTTTAAAAATTGGACATAAATATTAGTAATTTAAAAGCTCGACATAATTTTTTTTGGTTTTTTTTTTTAACCGAAAAGAGATTTGCGCTCACTTAAAACTGGACATACATTTTTGATAATTTAAAGTTGGGACATTGTGTTTTGTACAGTTAAAAGATGGTCATACATTTTGTGTACTTTAAAAACTGGATATATTTTTGTAATGTTTAAATCCCTGAAAATAAACTTTCGGTAATACAGAAAATGTTCATAAATATTTCCTTATCAAAAATTGAATTTAAATATTTGGCCACTTAAAAGCTGGACATAATTTGCTGCTTTTCAAAAAACCGGAAAGAGATTTATCGTAATTTAAAGCTGGACATCTATTTTTGGTCGTTTAAAGTCTGAACATATATTTTATATATATATATATTTTTTAATCATGAACCAAAAAGTTAATATTGTAAACAGAAAACATTTCTTATAAACATAGCTCCAACTTCAAGCTGACTATGTAAACGCTGTCGGTCCTTGCTCTTCAGAGTATATCCGTTTAAACTCTTTCAGTGGTGGTTGAAGTTTTGGGTAATTATTTTGATGTCCTTGTTCCTAGACTTGGTACTTTCTAGGGCTGGCTTGAAAATGCTGCTTCCTATTCCAATGCGCCTCCCTCAGGGGGATTCCGCATTTGTGGGATTACGGGTATGCCAACCGGGGTACTAATCAACGGCCTCCGGTGGAGTCGAGGCTCAACTAGCATTAGTTTCGGCTTCGAGGTCTGACCAGAGACTTAATTATTCTGGTACCACGGGGAGAATTATTATATTTACACTGGCCTGTTATTGGGTACGGCCCTTCGGGGAATATTCGTGGTGGCTGTGGTTTAAAACCCAAATGTGGGTAGAACCGGCCTTAGTTGGTTCGATGTCGAGCTACTTTAAAAGCGGGTGTCGGACCCAAAGTACGACAGAGGCTTTAGCTAGGCTTCGAGCCCTACCAAGGTTGTTAGTTTGTCCGCCCCATACTGCTATTTAATACCGACAGAGTGGTTACATTACGTGGAGCCGATCAACGTATTGATCCGCTGTGCTTTTGATCGCCGTGGGGTAAGGCAGCGAAAGACGCTATCTTAATTCGACAAATTTTGTCGGCAATCACCGATTCAGAATTTCAGGGTAAGTAATTCAGTCTTTATTAGCCAAGGGTTAGATAAGCCTAACGAAGGACGAAGGTTATTCAGGTTGTAGAGAGGGAAAAGTAGAGATGTGTTCGTTTCGGAAGCTTTTTCCACTTCTAATTCTACGTCTACGTGCTCACCTACTGGCTCTTTCGAAGAAATTTTAGTTCAGTATATTAACCACAATATTTGCCAAACATCCCTCAGCCGTGTATAACCGGTCCAGGATCATCCCAATGTAGCTCGACTAGTATCTATTAATGTAGAATCATTCTACTAGGGATCAGACCTTTGCCACGCTTTATAGGCAAATGCTGTTCCAACATCCACATGGAGGACCTGCTAGTAATCTACGAAATCTGTACTTCTACCCCTCAAGCTGTATGCTCTCCATCCGCCAGTCGCCCCAAAGTGGATGACCGGATAACGGACAGGGTTGTGAATATCTACCTAACCTAATCTTAATAGCTCAAACATAATTTACTGCCCGAGATCTTCTCTCTACTTCCTTCGTAATATTTAGCAGTAAAGACTCCAAGAAGATCGGCTTACCGGCTATTCAAAACTTTTTCATCTTAAACTTTACTTTTGGAAGTCATTACATAGAGGGACCCATGATTTAGAGGGCGCTTGTCCTCCTAGCTGCTAACAAGTGGAACGATCTTCTAAGGCAGTATTTTATACAAATTTAGAATTTTTCATAGAGACCCGAAAAGTTATTGCTGCTCGGCGATCTTCCGCAGATTGCCGACTATTACCCAAGATAAATATCTAACGGAATTGTCGCTACAAAGAGCTTTACTTCGTTTAAGCCCTTCGGAGTCGATTTTTGAAAAAATAAAAATAAAAAATTTGAAGAAAACAAAGGGCTTATAAAGTTGGAAAAGTCGAATCTCGAAAAAAAATTTCATATGTACAAATTTTGTGTGTAACGCAAAAGTAATTTTCAACATCAACTCACCTGATCCAGTGATATGCCAATATATTTGGGTGGTGAAAACGCTGAATGCTGCAATTGAAAATTCGATAGCACCGATGGTTTACCCAGTCCGCGATCGCTGGCAAAGTAACTCGCCGGGCCGCCATTTGCGGCCAGCATGCCATGATTGAGCGTTTGTAGAAGATGTGGATGGAAGCTGTGCAGCAGGTGTGTGCCATAACTGCCGACAAGTGACATATTGTGTAGATCTTTGGCGTCTGGTAACTGAAAAAAA